ATAATTTCCATCACCCCACCAACCTTCTACACCATCTCCTTTATGCTCTTCATTACATGCTGGACATATTCCTGAATAAATATAATAATCGCTATATTCATTGCTATATTTAAGTGATAAATTATTGAATTGTTCCAATGTGGTATAAATAACAAGATTTCGTCTTCTTTCTGGATCATTGGGTAAGATAGAAATTGGAAGACGAGAATTGAGAGATGCATTTTTGTTTATAGGTGATATGCGTACCTCTGTTTCTGACAAAACCTTTTCAGGCAATATACTCACCTCAGTTGAATCCTTTGGATTCGTTTCCAGTGAAATATTATCCTGTAGAATATAGTTATTAGTATTCGATGAAGATTTGTTATCCTCACTTATCATATCTTCCGAATTAGAGGTATGAGATGATTGTATAGAGGGGAGAGATGTTTCTGAACTAGACGAAACAGAAATTTGAGATTCAGTAGGTATACTTTCCTCAGCTTTCAGTGATTTATTCAAGGAATTATCAATAGAACCGTCTGGTAAATCGGTATCGGTATTCTTGGAGAAATGGTTTATAATAGTTTGTATTTTGTCATTAGTTAATTCCGATATGGCATTTGCACTGTATATTTTGATATACTTAATTTTATCTATGCCTACTTTTTCAAATAAATTATATATTTTTACAGCTTTCTGGGTTTTTCCTTGTAAGTATTTGCGTGATATTTCTGGAAGATGAAAGCCCGTATCTTCGGATCTCTTTTTACGGACGATAGAAAGTTGTTCTAACATTTTATCATAAACTATACCTTTGGCTTTTTTCTCGCCAATTTTACCATTGCTATTTTTTAATATATCTTTGTACTGAATTATAAATTCTTTTCCGTAATAGCACCAGCATAAAATTTCTTCTTGGTTAGCACAAATAGCACTATATTCAGCAACGGTTGCTTTATCAAATAATTGAGCTAAAGTAAGCATTGGTACTGAAGAAGAAATTTGATTTCGTTGTAATAAAAGATCGTTAGATATATCAAGAATTGAATTCTGAGGGTAAGTATTATCTCGAATACCATCAGATATCATTTGAGAAATATTCTCTGCTCCTTTTTTCCTATGACAATTTTTTGGCCGGGGCGCCCCGGCTGAAATTTCAGACTTTCCGAGTTCAGTGTTTCTGGATATCGAAGTTGAAGGAACCGATACCTCAGGTATCACCTCTTCTGGTGAAGTATTATCCGAAGATAAGTTTTGTTCCCGGAGTTTCTTTTCCCTAATTCCCTCCATTATCTCTTTACTAACCCGTTCTTTATGTACCGTTTCTACAAAATCTAGAGTCTCAGCTGATTGTGGCAAAGAGGTTGCAGGAAGTTCAGACTCCATTGAAGATTGTACTAGTTCAGGCATGGGGTCGAGAATCATACCATTATCTTTACCGGACTGATCTTCGATAGGTGGAAAAATATCTTTTGCGGGGGATACTTCCTGTTCATTAGGGATAACCTGGGTCCGCTTCTGTTCCAATTTCGCAAATCGTTTTTCACTTTCTTTTGCCGACCGTTCTAGTTCCACAATTCTAGTACTGAGCTCATTATCTCTTATCTTCGCCTTTTCAGCATTTTGTTCTAGTTCCATGATTCTAGCCATAAATCCCGCTTCCTTAGCTAAGAATTCAGCCTTCTCCCTTTTAAGTTCAGTAATCTCGGCTACAAGCTTGGAATTCTGTTCTAATAAATCGGTTTTGGATTGTGTATTTGCCATTTTTTAATATAATATATGTATACATTCAAATAATCAT